TTTAAACTCAGCCATATTTTTTAAACTTTCTTTATTCTATCTTTGTTCACTGATATTTGGGGCCTTGGAATGTTAAGACAACTTACATTTGCATTATCTTCAATAATTCCATGGAGCTGGTGATTTCTGTCTATTGACAGGTTAATTTAAGCCTTTTTCTAAAGAAGTGAGAACAGGTGTTACATGCCTTTTCTGTTACACAGGATTGATTACAACTAGGGTCTATAAGAGTAATAAACGAATCAAAGCTGTTTATTTCACTAATTTAAAACATTACTCATTGCTTACACTGCTGTTCTTCCTGCCAAACTTTAGTTTTAAAGAAACCCCAAAGGCAAAGGTGACCATTGAACAGCCCAGGCATTTTATTGAGTACAAAGGGAATAATAGTCAATTCAGGCATCTGTTCTGTTTCAGATGATAAATATATGTTCACACTAAGTCAAAAAAGGTAACTTTTCTTTGAAATTTTTGTCCTGGTAAATTAAAGTTATGCAAGAATTTGACCATTTATTTGTATGAAAAATGTACTTGTCGTGTATCTTATACATAAGAAATTACTTACAAATTCATTACAGTAAAAGAATACAATGGGACCTGGAGAGATGGGCCAGTGATTAAGAGCACTGGCTGCTCTTGCAGAAAACCCAAGTTCACTTCTCAGCACTGTCTTGGCAGCTAACTACTATCTGTAACTCCAGTTCCAGGGTATCTCACACCTCATTCTGACCTCTGCAGTCACTGCATGACACAGGTGCACTTACATACATGCAGGCAATACACTCATACACATAAAATAAAAATAATACATGAAATATTTTTTAAAAGAAAAGAACGAATACAATGGGTTGGAGAGAGACTATCTTCTCAAATAGAACTCAATGATATAGCCTCTTTGACTTCATATCAAGAATCAAAAGGCAAAAGAGTTGGGTCTATTGACCCATGCGTTTAATCCCAGCACTCAGGAGGCAGAGGCAGGCAGACTGGATTGCTGTGAGATTGAGACCAGCCTGGGATGGTCTACATAATGAGTTTCAGGCCAGGTTGGGCCACATAGTGAGACCCTGTCTCAAACAACAGCAAAACCAAAGCAAACAAACAAAAGGCAAGAAAGCCCACTGTCAGCTCTCCTGTTGACCTCTTCATCTTATGATGCCCTAGTCCTTCTCTCTTGAAGTACCTGCCTTGTCACCATCCCCATTGATTATCCTCTTAAATGTGAACTGATTTGTCTTTCCCTCTGAACTCACTGGTCACAGCTTTCTGTTGACAATGAATTGAAGTTTTCCAGCATGGCTTTTAGAGGCTGCATGAAACCAAACATCTTTCCAAACTGCCAGTCCCTCTCACGAGGCACATGCCCCCAGTGTTTTATAGTCAGCAATGAACAGACTGCTAGACATCATATTTAGAGAAGAGATCTAATTTCATCAGTGCTCTAACATTAGAGAATGCCTCCTATCTATCCTGGATTGTCTGTGTGTATGTAGGGGGTAATAAACTGAAATCACTAGCGCTTCCTTGTGCATCTGACTGCCTATAGATGCAATGCCTGGCAAATTTGGTTTAAGGATGCAGGCCCAAAGGTATTTCAAAGGCAACACTGCTTTATCTAACAACAGTGGAAAAGCCAAGACCTTCAAAATCTAAGTAAAGCAGAGGGTAGAGATCAGAACCAGTTCCCGAGTGCTGAGGAACAGGGGTAGAACATTTTTAGTGTGTGCCCTCCAGGTATGGTCTTTACCATACTGCTCCCCTGCCCACCCTGACATTGAGTGCCAGCTCTGTGACAGCTATATACTCTGTTAAATTTTTGTAATGACCTCGCTGCTTTGATAAAGTCTGGAACAATCCCTGTCACAGGCAAACGCTCAAAAATATTTGCTGCATAAGTGAAAAAAATGAATTGATGCATTGTAAATAAATTAGTAACCACTTCAACTTTGAGATGTACTGTGATCTTAGTAATCTGACAGTAATTTGTCACAATTGCCTTATAATTTAATATGGAAAATCATAAAACAAATGCCAATGAAATACGATGGAAAAGATGTGTCTCCTTTTTTCCTATAGATGTGCTGGGCTGGGTCTTGAAGGATGTGCAACAAATGGGTATGTATCTTAGCTTTGGAGCCAGTAGACTTTGGATCTATTACCAGAAGCCATTTCTGGTTTCCCTCCACCTGATCAGTTTCTTCTAAATCCTCTGGGCTAGCCAAGGATTCCAGGTGAAACAGCTCTGCTGGTTCTGCCCTCCTCCCTGTATCTATTTTGTTCGACAGTGGAGGATATAAGATGTATAACTCTAGCTGGGCGTGGTGGCGCATGCCTTTAATCCCAGCACTTGGGAGGCAGAGGCAGGCAGATCTCTGAGCTCAAGGCCAGCCTGATCTATATAGTGAGTTCCAGGCCAGCCAGGGCTACAGAGAGACCCTGTCTCAAAATAAAAAAATAAAAAAGATGTATAATTCTAGAGCCAGCCCCATAAGAAGTTGTACTTTGGACGAGCCAACTCTTTATGTTTCTAGTTTCTGCAGTTACAGAAGTTTTACTTAATCTTGTCGCCTCTGTTCTTCCAGCTAGCCCAGTTTGTCCTATCACAAATGTGTCTGAATGGCCTTTTTGTCAGATGACAAAGATCCAGCTTAGGAACATTTTCTTGTTCCTTCCTTTTTGAAATACATTACCAGCAAAGACAGTGAACATCCTTCAACTTTTCATTTCTGATCAGTTTCCACCATTTGACTGAAATGCTGCCCTAAGAAATGCAAAATTGTGAATTTCTGTTTAGATTCATCAGATTCATCATACAAAAGTATTAACATCAGCATCTAGCGAGGAATAGGGAGATTACCGACAAAACACCTAATTGCCATTTCTGATGCCCTAACTCCATCCAAATTCCCAGGCATGTCTATATCTGCCACTTACCAGAGGGCCTGCAAAAATCCCTCCTCTTACCCATTCTTCCTCAATGTTAGCCCTCTCTTCTACTCCACAATCAAGGTGGCAGCTGATCCCTTCTGCCATCAGCAAAACAGTAAGATAAATAAAGGCAGATCTCAGCCACAGAAGTCCCTGTTTCCTCTCTGAGCTCCCATAGCTACCCAGCAGACACCTGTCTCCACGTTGCTCTCATTGACCTTCTATTCACGTTCTCTTATCACATTCCTCCTTGAAATCAGTCGGTCACCAGTCTTCAAAATCATTCCTTTAGAACTGTTTTCTCTTCTGAACCACCCACCTTTGTTACTATGGCTTCTCATGAAGCATGTGCTCAGAAACAAAGTATTCCTTACATCTTCACTTTGTATTAATGAAAACTCTTTAATGTAGATTAATTGGGAATTTGTTATACAGCTCAAGAGATGACTTTTGTACTTGCTTAAAAGAGATTTGGTGAAAGCCACCATTTTCATGATTTACATTTTATTTAATTAAGATAAATATGCAAGAATTTTAGTGCTTTTTCTATATTCAAATGATGCTGCTAATAACTCTTTGACATTCATTAACATGTCTACCTAGAAATAAAGATAAATTTACTAGGAGCTCAAATGGGGATAGATTCTTAAGGAAAATCACTTTCAGTCAAGTACTACCACAAAGGAAGGGATCTAAATTTTAATGATCTAAATTCAGAGTTAGTGATATTAATTACCAGATGTTCTCTGGTAAGCTTGAAACCCTGGCTTCTGAATATTTTTCATCTTTCTGAAATTCCAGTTGACCTTAGTGAGATAGAGAAGTTAATGCATTCTTTATTGATATATACATTTTTGGTATTTTTTTTATTTTATGTGTATAAGTGTATTGCCTGCATGTGTGCATGCTGTGAGATACCCAAGGAGGTCAGAAGAGGGCATCAGATCCCCTGGAACTAGAGTTACAGACGGTTGTTAGCTGCCATGTGGGTTCTGGGAATCAAATCCAGGTCCTCTGCAAGAACAGGCAGTGCTCTTAACCACTGAGCAGTCTCTCCAGCCCCTGTTAATGCATTCTTAGAGTTGGAGGACACAGGAGCCAACACTTACTACAGTGATCACTCTGTGTCTTCTCCTGAGCTCATTTACACCATCTTGGTGGTCACCAAGATGGGTGGTCACCATCTTGGAAGTAGAGTACCCTATAAGGAATTTCAGTGTCCCTGGAAGGTCACCCAGCCTGGCCAAGAGATACCCCCTGATTGTTTTTCTTAAATTGAATGAATATATGCTTGGAAAGAACAAGATTGAAGTTCATGTGAAAAGCAGTATTGAAGTCCGGGTTGTTTTTTGTACTATATATTTAAATAGAATATATTCTTCATCAAGAGACTAGAAAATAATTATTATAAGGAGAGAAGTTCAGATGACACCCCAATTTTTAAAATGCAGAAAGGGGGTTGGAAACAGGGAAGCTAAGAATGTTGGAAACCTTGTGTTAGTCAGCTGTCTTCTCTCCCTTTAGAAGCTGCACAATGTTCCAGTTCTTGAAATAGTTTTAAATAATATCATTGTGTTGAAAGACAAGGGAAATGTGTGAAATGTCAGTGTTACCTTCCCATGTCTCTCCACCTCATTCCAGGCCCAAGATCCCCTCCATTGCCACCGGGATTGTGGGTGGCCTCTTCTTGATAGTGTTGCTGGCTCTTGGGATCGGCCTCTTTATGAGAAGGCGCCACATTGTCCGAAAGCGCACGCTGCGCCGCCTGCTGCAGGAGAGAGAGGTGAGCAGTGAGTCTTGACCGTCTTTGGATCAGTAATCTCAAACCACCCCTCGCTCCCAGTATTCCAGAGAGAAAAAGGCTTCCTTTGAGAACTTGTAACATGGATCTTTATATTTTAGATATTATTTCAGCTTTCCGTCACTGTAACAAATACTTACGATGACCCAGTCGTAAAAAGGAAAGGGTAATTTGGTTCATGGTTTTAAGAGGGTTTGGTCCATGATTGGATGATACTCAAACTGCTTTGGATTTGGGGCAACATATCATGCAGGTGTGCCTGGTGAAGCAAAGCTGACACCAGAAGAAAAGAGGAAGAAGGAGCCGAGTGCCTTACTGTCTCCTTCCAGATTATGTCCCCAGTCACCTAAAAGCCTCCCAACAGGCCCCAACTCATGAATGATCCACTGCTTCCTAATGGCACCAGGTCCATATTAGCACATGGATCTTTGGAGGATGCTTTTCGAAACCGTAGCAGATATGTAATTACAGTTATGAATTATTTCTTATTATGGAAGAACTAGAAAAAAATCTCAGAATGTCCAATTTAACACAGTTACACTTTCGTATCTTCATCCAATTAAAGGTATGTTTTTAGGCTATGTCTTTCCAAATGCTTACAAAGCTGAGGGGATGCCTGCCTCAGGGACAGTTCCTATGTGTGTATGGAGGAAAAGGATCAAGAAGAGAGAGCTGCTGAAATCCCGTGGCAACCCCACAACTGAGATAAGATGTTACTTTGGGAAAATGCCACTCTCTGTACAAGCGGCTGTTCTTTCTGAGCTCTCTGTGTGATCAGCACTGTCCCTCACTCTGTCTGTAGTCAACGTCTGTGTCCCACACTGTGCTAGAAAACATAGTCCTTCATAAGCATGATGGTGCTGTATGTTATGGGATTCAGAAATGACCCAAATGAGTATGATAGAATATTTTTCTCTTTACTGTATTTCAATCAAAACCAAATGACATGGAAACAAAATGGAAAATGCATTTGTTAAATGTGGCTGTTCGGTTAAGCAACACCAAGTTGGAGAGTCTGTCTCTATATGTTATTAGTTTTTGAAGAAAAGGTGCCTGGTGCTCATTTTGAACAAGTATGGTGAGTGTTTTGTACTAAAGCATGGCCCCATGCTGTTAGATGCTGGCCACTATTGCTCTGAATGCATCTACCATCCATGTTGCATGTTGTGGAACACTGAGCTGCATCTGTGGTCTGCTCCCTCTTCACAGCTCGTGGAACCTCTCACACCCAGCGGAGAAGCTCCCAACCAAGCCCTCCTGAGGATCTTAAAGGAAACAGAATTCAAAAAGATCAAAGTTCTGGGCTCTGGAGCATTTGGCACAGTGTATTCATGTGAAAAGCAGTATTGAAGTCCGGGTTGTTTTTTGTACTATATATTTAAATAGAATATATTCTTCATCAAGAGACTAGAAAATAATTATTATAAGGAGAGAAGTTCAGATGACACCCCAAT